CCCGCACCCCCTACCCAGACGGCGCCCCCACTCACCACCTACACAGACGGCGCCCCCACTCACCACCTACACAGACGGCACCCCCACTCACCACCTACACAGACGGCACCCCCAATACAGCAGCTCACTCTCACCATACATGGCCAGCACTCCCCAATAGCCCACTCACCTCATTCACTGCCATACAGCCTACACCCATCACAGCCCAGTACATCTTACTGGTGCAGCCAGATGTCAGGCAAACTCTAGTGTGACAAGCATGGTCCCAACAGAGCAATCACTCAGCATGCACCCCCACTCCCATTACACCCCCAAAATGTACCCCACTTACCAGGCTGCCCTCGCTCTTGCGGCTCCTCCCCATGGTCAGCGCTGCTCCCCCACACTCCTCAGACATAGGGGATGAAAACTGCGAGATAAGAGCAGAGACAGTGAGCCAGGCCAGCACCATGAACCCCAAACTTATCCACCTACTTCACCCCCCACCTACCGATCCCCGTCCTCCCAGCTACCTTTATATAACGGCCCAGCGCTCAACCTGCAGCCTCCCACCTGCTCGTGCTCGCAGCCAGAAGCGACTCACGTGACACTCCCTACCTGCATCCCCGCCCCGCATCCAGCCTAGTACAGCTGCCTGGCCGCCGCACAGGTGTAGGTCCGTTCCTAATTACCCCCGGGGCCTCCCCACGTGTCACCGTGCACCGATCTACAAGAAAGATCCGGCCCGACCTGATTACTGCACCGAGGGAATAAAACAAATCGCGATCCCTACCGCTAAAATCATATTAAACCGAGAAGTCACCAGCAGCCTGATGACCCGACAATTGAATACATCGCTACGATCTGTACAATTCCGGATTGCAATTATACATTCGACTTATTCCGATTCCTAATGATGGCCGCGGGTCATTTCTGGTTTCATGTGATTGTATGCATTTCTACAACGCCAGCCATACACACTAATTGTCATCGCACCGATTGCAAACTGATTGAGCAACAGTTTGTTTTTGGATTCGCCGTCAGCGGAAAATCCAATCAGATCACCCCGAATTAAAATAATCTACTTTTTTGTTGTGTCATAGAATGATTGTTTTTGCCTAAAAGATCATTAAATAATATTGGATCGATAAATGATCGTTTATGACGTGTATGGCTAGCGAAAGGATTCAAGTTTAAACCGTTTTTTTTTTGTTTTTTTTAAGGGACAGCGATCTGGTTTATTGAAGTGTCTTATTAATAAGCAGATCGGACTACAAGGCTCAATTCACAAAGCTTTACCACAAGGAGAAGTATCTTAGCCACGTGACTTTCATTATGAAATCTTATTGGTCTCCCCAGAAATTGTTACTTTTCTTTAAAATAAGTATTCTCTATGCACCTTTGTGAGCTACCCCCCACAGTGTCATTCTGATTGGTCCCCTGGGAAGCTTAACCATGTAATCAGAACGGTGTTCTATCGAAAGCTACAACTCGTCGAAATCTCCAAGTACCTCACTGCCGGGTACTTGCAAGTTGGAGATTTCGACCAGACGGCGTTAACAGCAAAAGACTGACGTAGCTGTGTACAGCTGCATTTTAACAATATTCAGCAGCTGGCAAACTCGACGAGTATTCTGAAAACGCTATGCCGCGCATGTGCACCGCGACTGTATAGAGCTCCAGTCTTTCTGAGCACCGGAGGTGAGGTAGTTGGAGATCCCGATGAGTTGGAGCTTTCGATAGAACGCCGGCTTTAATGCCCATTAAGCCTGCATTCACACCTGTGCGTTCTGTGAACATGTACCAAAGCACGCATTTGCGTCGGCATTTGGCGCACGTTCACAGAAACGCGTAGAAAAAAAACGATTGCATTGCCATTCATTTCTAATGGCGCCCAAAACCTGGCTATGAAAACGTGCAAAAACAAAGTAGAATGCATGTCGTAAAATCTGCTACATGAGTTTTGCCGCACGTGCAGTCCCTTTAGAACTCAAAGACGGCACACATTTACAGCACGCGTAGGTGTCAATGCGGGCTTACATCTTTGCATTGCTTTAAACCATACGCGTTAAAATGCGTTCTGTCCCACGTGGTAAGGCAGCCCATTAATTTGCTTAAAACACCCAAAAAAAGGTGCATGTAGCAGTTTTGTCAGCGGACCTCAATACACCTTGTACTGCGCTACAACACACGTCGCAAGCTGTGTCGGGGTGCCGTTCACAATGAATGAAGCCCCAGCCAGATGCGTAACTAGAACCTTCAGGGCCCCGGTGCAAGAAGCCATGAAGGCCCCCCACCACCATTTCCCCCAGCCGCCATGGCACCTCATGGTTTACAGGAAGGCTGCCGAGGTCCCAAGCAAGCGCGGGACCTCGGGCAGCCGCTTGTGTAAAATTTTGGTGCCGGTGTTCGACCCTGGTAGTTCCGCCAGTGGCAATTATAATGAATTCATTCACAACCTGGATCAGCCTCTCAACCAGGGGGGACTTCTGGCTTCCTCAGGGGTGCCTCCATATTTTTGCACAGAGTCATGCCTCTGATCAGTGGTGTCACAAGGGTAGTGCAGCTCGCACTGGGTGACACCAAAATGACTAACAATCATGGCCCGAGAGGAGGGGACCCGCTGGCATATCTTATCCACTCTATGCCGGCATCCATCACTGAGATGGCCACGGGCAGTTAAATGCGCATGACATCATTACGCATATAAGTAATGAAGTCCCAGTGGGTGACACCTGGAGGCCACACTGGGTGACACGCAGCCTAGGGGACGGCTCTGACTTATGTTAAAGGAGGGGGGTTACTGATGTGAAAAGAGAGGACTCTTCTGTGAAAGGTGGCACTCTGTGTTCTTGCATGGGGTCTGCCCTTAAAATTCATACTAGACCCCTATCTGGAATAAGGTCCTGGTACGGATTTTGAAGGGACCCCCAATAATTTTTTACATTTTAGACTGGGGTGCCTCAAGATTTTGTTAACTTTTAAAGGGTGCCATGCTTGAGCGTCCCGAGGCCAGGTGTCACCGGGCATGCGCGGTCATCTTAATGACGCCTGCCGGCGGCCATCTTTGTGGTGGACGCTGGCAGAGAGAGGAGGGGACGTTCACCCGGAGGGATGAGGTATGCCGCCGGGTCCCCTCCTCTCTCCTGACACTGTCGAGCTCTCGGTCCATAACCGAGTGCCCGACTTTTCATAGGGGGTCACCCCTCCAATGGTGGCACCCGGGTGCGGCCGCACCTCCCCGCACCCCCCTTGTGACGCCACTGGTGCCATGGCTGAAAAAAAAAGGTTGAGAAACGCTGATCTAGAGCCATGAATACCCAAGGTGGGCGGAGCCATCATTTGTAAAGGTGACTAAAGTTTTGATGGAATCTAAAATTCAGATCTATAAAGAAAAACGTTGTGGTCAGTGGAAGCGATTGTACACCGTGCGATGAAGGATCATAATTTTTGTGCCTTCTGATCCAGCAAGTTCCCCCTCTCACCCCATAACTACACCAAAGAATGGTAAATTAATATTAGACATTCCGATCGCACGTCTCAGCAATAAGGCCCCATTCACACCAGGGCGCAAGCGTTTCAGCGTGATTTTTGAAAGGGCGTTTTGGGGCATTTTTAATCGCGTTTCAGCACTAAAACGCAATTTAAAACGGCCAAAAGTGCGCTGATCAGCATGTTTCCATCAAAATCTATATGGAAAATGCCCTAATGAGCACGAAAAAAGTATCTCAGGGAACATTCTGGGCGGCAGGCTGTTCGGGTCGCGCTGAGCCGCGGGATTGCATGGATGGTCCCCATAGGAATGTATGGGATTGTTCATGTCGGTGGTTCAGCGCGGACAAATCCGCACGACAGAACCGTCCTGGTGTGAACTGAAGCAGATGTTCCAGCGACTCCACTGATCGCCACTCCATTCACAATGATAACGTCACTCATTAATGACCGCCTACCGCAGGGGTGGGGCAACTCCGGCCATCCAGCTGTTGTGGAACTACAAGTCCCATGAGGGCATTGCAGGACTGGCAGTTACAGGCATGAATCCCAGAGGCAAAAGCATGCTGGGATTAGTAGTTAAAGCAAAGCTGGAGGGCCGGAGTTGCCCACCCCGGTCTACTGAGAATGATTTTCTGTCCCGTTGGAAAATCACTCCGTTGGATATTTGCCAGGTCATCAGTAGTTGATTTTTCTTGCTTATGAAACAAACTCTTTGTAATAAAATTTAGCTGAATCTTTTCCCATAAGGAGGAAAATTAAGTTGCCTAAAGCCAATTGTTAAAATTGGCAGTAATTTACTAAGACCC